CACATGGAGGTAGAGAGGAGAATGATAAATCCCAGAGATTTGGGAAGGGTGTGTGGGTGGGAGGTGGGGGGATGGAGCAAGGTTGGTTAATGGATACAAATATACAGTTAGATAGAAGAAATAAATTCTAATGTTTGATAGCAGAGTAGAGAGACTATAGTTAACAACAATGTATTATATTTTTCAAAATAGTTAGAAGAGAGGACTTGAAATATACCCAATGTGTAGAAATAATAAATTCTCAGGTGACGGATACTATAAATACCCTGAGGTGATTATTATATTCTGTGCATGAACAAAATGTCACATGTACCCCACAGATAGGCACAAATATCGTGTATTAAATATAATAAAACAAAAGGCACCCACATTATGACCCTGAGATTTTATTCTTAAAAAAAAACCCATATGGGTGTCTCAGCCTGTAATCCCGCGCTTTAGGAGGCTGAGGTGAGTGGATTGCCTGAGCCCGCGGGTTCGAGACCCGCCTGGGCAACTTGGCGAGACCTCATCTCTACAATAAATCAGAAAATCAACCAGGCATGGTAGCGCGTGCCTGTAATTCCGGCTCAGAGGCTGTGGTGGAAAGATCGCCGGAGCCCAGCAGGTCGAGGCTGCAGTGGCCGGGAGCGGCCACTGCACTCCAGTCTGAGCGACAGAGTGAGACTCCAACTCAAAAACAAAAACGAAACCAAAAACCCACATGATCATTTCAATAGATGCACAAAAAGCATTTGACAAAATGTAACATTCCTTCATGATTAAAACTCTCAGCAAATTCGACATAGAAGATACGCAACTCGATAGAATGACGGCAATATGTGACAAATGCATAGTTAACAATACTGAGTAGAAAAAAGCTAAAAGCTTTCTCTCTAAGATCAGGAACAAGAAAAAGATGCCCACCTTCACCTCTTATGTTCACATAGTACTTGAAGTCCTAGTCAGAGCAATTAACTAAGAGAAAGAAATAAAAGTCCTCCAAACTAGTGTTGATGGAAGATGTCAGACTATAAATTATGTAAGATGGTTTATTCTGAGCCAAAGGTAAGTGATCTTAGGCTAATGACACCTGTCCCCAGTACATCCTGAGGATAATGTGCTAGCCACAATTGAATTGTAGCTTGGTTATATACTTGGTTATATACTGGAGGACAGAGGTTACAAGAAACCATTAATGGAAAACATGTGAGATTTACATTGATTCGGTTCTGGAAGGTAGTATATCTCTAAGAGGGGCTACAGAATTCAAAGATTTCCTGACTAGCAATTAGTTAGAGTTACAAAAGGAATTGTGAAAGCAGTAAAGGGAACAGGCAACTTGAGGAAGGATAAGAGCGTCAAGTTTCTTGATCTGTAGATGAAACTTCATAAGTGACAGACTTCAGAGAGAATAGGTAAAAAGTGCCCAGAGTCCCTAAAAGACAGCTTTACAGGGCCATAAAATACTTTGATTTTTTTCTTTTTTATCTCCTATGTGATGTTATGCCAGAGCCAGGTTGGAAAGTAAACAGCATCAAATAGTTAATACAAAATTTGTCTTTCCAGACCCCTTAGGAATTTGGCAAAGTAAAGAAAAAAAAAGTCAGAGTTTAGTCCTCATTAGGAAGAGAAAAGTGAAATTGTACCTGTTTTCAGATGACACCATCTTATAGATAGAAAGCCCTAAAGTCTCCACCAAAAACAAAACAAAAAACTGTTAGAACTAATGAATTCATAAAGTTGTAGAATACCAAATCAACATACAAAAATCAGTAGCATTTTTATACACTAGTAGTTAACTATCTTTAAAAAACCAAACAATTCCACTTACAATAGCTTAAACAAAAAATAAGATACCTAGGAGTAAACTTAACCAAAGAGGTGAAATCTCTCTACACCAAAAACTATAAAACATTGATAAAAGAAACTGAAGAAGATGCAAAGAAATGGAAAGATATTTTGTGTTTATGAATTGGAAGAATTAATATTGTTAAATTGGCTATACTAACCAAAGTGATATACAAATTTAATGCAATTCCTATTGAAATACCAAAGATGTTCTTCATAAAAATAGAAAAAAAATCCTAAAATTCATATGTAATTATTACAAAAGCTTCCAAATGACCAAAACAATTTTAAGTAAAAAGAACAAAGCTGGCGGCATCAATCACATTACCTGAATTTCTTTTTTTTATATTTATCTACTGATTTATTTTTTTTTTTTTAGAGGCAAGGTCTTGCTCTGTTGCCCGGGTTGAAGTGCAGTGATGCAATCATAGCTCATTGCAACCTCAAACTCCTGGCCTCAAGTCGACTTCCAGCATGGTCTGGGAAATGCAAATTAAGGCCACAATGAGCTATTATCTCACACCTATCAGAATGGCTATTATCAAGAAGACGAATGATAACAAATGTTGGAGAGGATTGGAAAAAAGGAAACATACACTGTTACTGGGACTGTAAATTAGTGTAGCCATTATGGAAAACTATATGGAAGTTACTCAAAAAAACTAAAAAGAGAAATACCAGGCTGAGTGTGGTGGTTCACACCTGTAATCCCAGCACTTTGGGAAGCTAAGGCAGGAGAATTACTTGAGCCCAGGAGTTTGCAACCAGCTAAGGCAACATAGCAAGACTCATCCTACAAAAATAAAAAAATTAGCTGGATGTGGTGACTCACACTTGTAGTACTAGCTACTCAGGAGGCTGAGGTGGAAGGATCACTTGAGGCTGGGTAAACTGTGATTGTACCCCTGCACTACAGTCTGGGCAACAGTAAAGCCCTGATTTAAAAGAATAAAATAAAGGGAAAAAAAGAAAACAAACGTACGTCATATGATCCAGCAATCCCACTTGTGGGTATTTACCCAAAATATTTGATATCAGTTTGTCGAAGAGATATCTGCACTCCCATGTCCATTGCAACACTATTCACAATAGCCAAGTTATGGAATCAACCTTGTCCATCAGTGGATGAATGGATTTTTAAAATGTGACATATGTATGAATATGTAAATGGAATACAATTCTGCCTTTAAAACGAAGGAAATTCTGTCATTTGCTACAACATGAATGGAACTGGAGAGCCTTATGGTAAGCGAAATAAGTCAGACACAGAAAGACAAATACCACGTGTTCTCACTTGAATGTGGAATCTGAAACAATGGAACTCACAGAAGCGAGAGTAGAATGGCAATTACAGAAACTGGAGGATAAGGGGGATGGAGAAATGAAGGTCAAAGGGCACAAAAATCTCAGACAGGAGAGATATGGGTTTTTTTAAATATCTGGGCCGGGCTCGGTGGCTCAGTCTGTAATCCCAGCACTTTGGGAGGCCAAGGTGAGAGGATTGCCTGAGCAATGGGAGTTCAAGACCAGCCTGGGCAACTTGGTGGGACTTTGTCTCTACAATAAATTATAAAAACTATTCTAAGCCAGGCTTGGTGGCTCAGCCTGTAATCCCGCGCCTTGGGAGGCTGAGGTGAGTGGATTGCCTGAGCCTGCGGGTTCGAGATCCACCTGGGCAACTTGGTGAGACCTCATCTCTACAATAAATCAAAACGAGCTGGGCGTGGTAGTGCGTGCCTGTAGGTCCAGCTACTTGGAAGGCTGAGGCAGAAGGATCGCCGGAGCCCAGCGGGTCGAGGCTGCGGTGGCTGGGAGCCGCCACTGCACTCCAGTCTGGGCGACGGAGTGAGACTCCAACTCAAAAAAAAAACAACAAAAAACTAGCCAGGTGTGGTGGCATGCATCTGTAGTTCCAGCTATTTGGAAGACTGAGGCAGAAGGATGAGCCCAGCAGGTCGAGACTGTAGTGGCCGTGAGCGTGCCACTGCACTCCAGTCTGGGTGACAAGAGTGAGACTCCAACTCAAAATAAATAAATAAATAACAATATTGTACATTTCAAAAATGATGAGAGAATAAATTTCAAATGTTCTCTGCAACAAATGTCAAGTATTTGAAGTGATGGGTATGTTAACAAGCTTGATTTAATGATTGCACATTGTATTTCTAAATCACAGCATCACATTTTTCCCCATAAGTAGATACAGTTATAAATGATCAATTTACAATTTAAAAAATAAATCCTGGTAGAGAAACAGTACGCTGAGTTGAACCAGAGCCGTTTTATTTATTCATTCATTCATTTATTGACTTACTTTTTAGAGCAGTTTTTGGTCTACAGCGAAATTGAGGAGCAAGTCCAGAGTTTTCCCATATACCTACTGCCCTCCCACACACATAGCTTTCCCTGTTATCAATACCCCCACCAGAGTAGTACATTTTTGTGTCAATCGATGAGGCTACATCGATGCATCATTATCCTCCAGTCCATGGTCTACATTAGGGTTTACTCTAGGTGCTGTACATTCTGTGTGCTTCAGCAAATGTATGATGACACCTATCCACCATTACAGCGTCATACAGAGTAGTTTCACTGCCCTGAAAATCTGCTGTGCTCTGCCTATTCAATTACCCTGCTGCCCCCAACCCCTGGCCAACACTGATTTTTTTCCCCCGTCTCCATGGTTTTAACTTTTCCAGCATGTCGTACAGTTGGAATCATGCAGTATATAGCCTGCTTGGATTGGCTTTTTTCACTTAGCGATATGCATTTACAGTTCCCCTCCATGTCTTCTCATGACTTGGTAGCTCATATAGACTTTCATTTTAGCACTCATCTTAAACACTGCCAACATCTGCCTCCTGGGATGGAGGCTGGCTTAGGATCTGAGATTATCCTGGATGCTAATACAGCCCACAGTTTCCCAAGTAAGCTGTAAGCAAAGACTGTGCTGATGATTGCGGGAAGCCTGTGGCCCTGTGGGCATCATCAAACACAGTGGCTATAGAAAACAGGGGTCCTCACACCCCTTTCTGCACAGAAGCATTCTCCTTCAGAAGGTGAGGGCCTCACTTCCTGTGTGAGGGTGAAGGGTAGGGTCAGTCAGTGTAGCAGCTCTGCTCTGGACATCCTGTCACTGATGATTGTGGCCTTCTCTCGGGGTCTCACAGGGAGCTCAAAAGGACGCACGCAGCTGAGCTCAGTAAGTTGGAGAGCAACTGCAAGGCAGCCTTGAAGGCAGAGAAGTTGGCTGCCCAAGAGAAGCTAGGTACTGTCGACCTGGGAGAAGGACAGGGTGTCGGGCCGGGAGGTGACTATGTGGGTTCAGGTCCAAGGAGCCCCTTGGCAATAGGTGGACTGTAGCCGGGCTTCCCCTAACATTTAGGGGAAGAAATGACTGAAAATGAAACTGAACAGAGGAAAATTCCTGTCTAGCCATGTCTTTCCTCTTCCTGGAAGATCTGAGCAAGTCTCTTCATCTTCTTAAGTTTCCCATCTGGGAATTGGGGACAAAAATATCTACCCTTATCATTGTGATGAAAATGGGAAAGCATTTTTTAAAGTATATTTTTGGATGGGTGGGGTGGCTCATGCCTGTAATCTCAGCCTTTTGGGAGGCTGAGGCAAGAGAATCATTTGAGCCCAGGAGTTCAAAACCAGCCTGGGCAACATAGTGAGACCCTGTGTGCATTTAAAAAATAAAAATAGCCTGGGCACGATGGCTCATGCCTGTAATCCCAGCACTTTGGGAGGTCAAGGCGAGAGGATTGCCGGAGCCCAGGGGCTCAAGACCAGCCTGTGCAACTTGGCAACACCACGTCTTTACAATAAATCAAAAAATGATCTGAGCATGGTGGCATGTGCCTGTAGTTCCAGCTGCTTGGAAGACTGAAGCAGAAATATCGCCTGAGCCCAGCAGGTCAAAGCTGAGGTAGCCATGAGCATGCCACTGCACTCCAGTCTGGGTGACAGAGTGAGACTCCGACTCAAAGATAAATAGATAAAATAACAATAAATAAAAAATGTTAAATTCTACAAATATAATACTATTTCAAATCAGCAAGTTTCCTCACCCTTAAAATAATAGTGTTTCATTAAATTCTCACTGACACACTTTGTCTGGAAGGCCTTCTACTACATAAGGGTCGCACTGACCTTATATCATTGTCGATGCTGCCCTTGGGAAGGGCAAAGTGTGTATCCTTCAGAATTCTGGGCTTACAGAATAATCTCTACAGATATGGAGAAATACTATATCCTACTTCCTTGATTTTGCCTTAAATTTTTAAAAAGATGGTATCTTGTTTATATTTTTGCTGATTTGCTGATTTTCTAAAAAGAACATGTATTGTTTTCATAAATCAACATAAGCCAGTAATTGTTATTTTTACAAAAGAGAAGCAGATGCATGCTACAAGGTTTTGTTCTTTTTCCACAGATGCAGGTTTTCTCCTGGATATTAGCTCTCAGACTTGATGTGCATCAAAATCCCCTAGAAACATATTTATCAACAAATATTGGGCCCCCTTCCTGAAACATCAATTCAGTATGTTTAGAGTGGGGGCCAGGCAACTGCATTTCTAATAAACTTCAAGGGTGATTTCTGGGGCCCACAGAAGTCTCACTGCCTAGGTGATGAATTTGGGGTAGGGAATGTGTGAGGGACAACTCTTATTTGAATTTGGAAATATGCATCTTAAAGGAATAATGATGACCCTGTTGTTGTTTTCTTTTTGTCCAGAGGAGTTGGGGAAGGAATATAAGTATTTGAAGAATATGTTTCATATGTATCAGGTGAGACACAGAGCTCTTTGTTGGATTATGCGAGTGAGAGAAGAAAAACTTATTCCTGGCTGATAACGTTGAAATGAATCTAGAGCTCACGTCCAGAAAATAATGCCCTGAGAGTCCCGGCATCCTTGGACCTAGGTGGCTAGCTGTACTCAGGAAGAAGCATGACTCTAATGGCTTCCATGCATGACAAGTCAGTTACCCAGATTCTAAAGAGGCCCACTGAAAAATGTGTTTGTGATTACAGAAGTAACCACTTCTCATTGTTTTGTTTTTGTTTTTTGAACTGGAAATATGAAAACCAAAAACAGCAAAAAAAAAAAAAGAAAGAAAGAAATATCATTACCCAAAGACAATCACTGTTAATATTTACGCTTTGTTAAAACTATAGTTAATGGCCAGACACAGTGGCTCACACCTATAATCCCAGCACTTTGGGAGGCTGAAGTGGGAGAATCACTTGAGGCTAGGAGTTCAAGGTTACCCTGGGCAACATATCAAGACCCTATCTCTTAAACAATTTTTTTTTTAATTTAAAAAAAGGGGGAGCCGGGCTTGATGGCTCAACCTGTAACCCCAGGACTTTGGGAGACCGCGGCAAGTGGATTGCCTGAGCCCACGGGTTGGAGACCAGCCTGGACAACTTGGCAACACTTCATCTCTACAATAAATAAAAATTAGCTAGGCATAGTAGCATGAGCCTGTAGTTCCGGCTACTTGGAAGGCTGAGGTGGAAGGATCGCCAAGCCCAGCAAGTCAACGCTGGGGCGGCCATGCGTGTGTCCCTGCACTCCAGCCTGGGCAACAGAGTGAGACTCTAACTCAAATTTAAAAAAAAAAGGCCAGGTGGTCTGATCAGGCAGATCAACCTGCTGGACTCCAGCGATCCTTCCACCTCACCCTTGCAAGTAGTTGGAACTACAGACGCGCGTTACCATGCCCGGCTAATTTTTCTTTCTTTCTTTTTTTTATCGTAAAGACGAGGTCTCACCATGTTGCCCAGGCTGGTCTCAAACCCGCGGTTTCAGGCAATCCTCTCGCCTCAGCCTCCCAAAGTACTGGAATTATAGGCTTGAGCCACCTCATCCGGCTCCCTTCCTTTTTAATGACTAGATACTATCCTAATGAAATTGCCATGGGTTCTAAAATTTTATGTTCCCTAATGGTTGGCCATTTGAGTTGTTTCTAGGTGCTTGCTGTAACAGATAACATCACTTTGAACATCTTTGATTCTAGAAGTAGAGGGAGCTGGGTTAAAAGAAATGAGCATTTTTAAGGCCTTTAGTAGATTTGGCCAAATCATCATCCAAAAAGACTGTATCACTCTGCACCCCCGCAAGCAGAGCATGGAATGCTCCAGCCAATCAGAATATAACCCATCCATTTCACCCGCTCATTAGAAGCAGGCCCAGGGAAACAGAGTTAGGGTGTGATTTTGTGCTAGTGGGAATGAAGAGAATCTGAAGTGGGGAGCAGGCAGGGAAAAGACTGAGACCTTAAGCCCCCATCCTAGGTAATTGTAAAGCACAGTGACTAACCAGTCCTGGTTTGCCTGGGACTTTCCAGGCTTTAGCATTGAAAGACCAAAGTCTTAGGAGACCTCTCAGTGTCAGGCAGACAAGGACATTTGGTCACCCTTCACAGGTTAAACACTAGCACCATCTCTGAAATTCTTTTTTTTTTTTTTTCGTGGTAGTCTCACTCTGTTGCTCAGGCTGGAGTGCAGTGGCACACTCATAGCCACCCCAGCGTTGACCTGCTGGGCTTCAGTGATCCTTCTGCCTCAACCTTCCAAGTGCCTGGAACTGCAGGCACACGCTACCACGCCCGGCTAATTTTTGATTTATCGTAGAGATGAGGTCTCGCCAAGTTGTCCTGGCTGGTCTTGAACCCACAGGTTCAGGCAATCCACTCATCTTGGCCTCCCAAAGTGCTGGGATTACAGGTTGAGTCACCAAACTCAACCCATCTCTGAAATTCTATTGACCACTCACAGCTTCCAATGTGAGCTTGTATCCAAAACTCATTTTCAAGATATCCCTTGATGCAGTCAGAGAATGCATCATAGAGCAGAGCCTAAGAAGTGTGGGTGATAAATAAGATAGGCTGAGTGTGAATCCTGCTGCTAACCTGAAAAGGAAAGATGTCAGCACCCTGGACCCTACTAGCAGTCTCCAGGTCCTAGACCTTCCCCCTCCTGGGATTCCATGCTCATGAAATCTGAGCCAACCAGCAGGGTGGCATTGGGTTACACTTACTCAACCTCAACCACAAAAGGACGTCTGATTTGCTGGGGAAAAGTGGACGCTCTGAGAAACATCCCATTGCTTTCTGTGTTCTAATTAACTACTAGGGGCCTGGCACGGTGGCTCACGCCTGTAATCCCAGCACTTGGGAGGCCAAGGCGGAAGGATCACTTGAGCCCAGAAGTTCAAGACCAGCCTGGACAGCATAGTCCTATAAAAATTTTTTTTAAATAGCCAAGCATGGTTATATGTGCCTGTAGTTCCAGCACTTTGGAAAGTCGAGGCAGGAGGATCACCTGAGCCCAGGAGGTCAAGACTGCAGTCAGCTGTGATAGCACCACTGTACTGCACCCCGGGCAACAGAGTGAGACCCGAACTCCAAAAAATAAAAAATAAAAAAATAACAACTAGGTATTTCCTTCTTTTCTTCGTGTGCTGTTGAAGAGGGATTCACGATTGAAGGAAACTGATGTGTAATTCTTCCACATGAAGAACACTACTTGTCTTCAAAAAATGCTCAGTTTCAGTGGGGCAAATGCCATGCACATTTGCCCTAGACTTTTAGAGTTCTGCAAGCTCTCTGCTGGGCTGGGTGGAATTTACTCCCCACCGGTCACCCACAGAGGGGCCCTCCCTGGGGGAAGTCTGTCCAGGTCTCCTTTGGTGGGACGCTTTTCCTCATGGTGCCTTTGTGCCTCCCTAGGACAGTATTTATGATGAAATGGAAGATAAGTGGTCAAAGTGGAAGGCGGAATGGGAGAACAGTGAGAAGCTGGAGCGGGAGAAGATCCTGCTACAGCAAAGTGAGTGCGGGACTTCTAGCTGTCTGGTGGCAAGTGCATGAAAAAGCAACATCTGGAAACTTGGTCTTGAGAACAGAGGCCTTGGACTTACCGAGGGCAATAGGCCACATGGGAGGTGCCTCAATGGAAGATGTTCCGAGTTTTCAAAAAAGCAAAGTAACAACAAGGGTGGGGTGTGTTTTTTAAAGTTTAGATACCTGATCTAAGGAGTACCTTCTGAAACATGCTGGGTCCAAGCTTGCCCATCATGGGCTGGAACAAGCATAGGAACCTTTAGAGTAGTGTAGACTTGTTGTCTGGATACAGGTAACCAAAGTTCCAGGAATTTCTGGGGGGCGGCTCTTTTATTTTGTCTCATTAGTACCCATACCTGGACTATGGTAGATCTTCAATAAATATCAGTTCAATGAATGAAATACAAGGTCTAACCATTAAGTTTGTGAACTCATCCTTAAAAAAATGGTACATACCTCATTGCTGAATATCACTACGGTCACCTTCGAAGTACCCCCCTTGGGAAGCTATAAACCAACACCAGCACCTCATCCACCTGTCAAAGCAATCTTGAAAATCTTTTTCTGAAATGGCTATCAGAGTTGTTATCATATTGTCCTTGATGTCCTAAATGTCATCAGAATGTCTTCCTTTCAATATTTCTTTTATCTTTAGTTACATTAAAAAGTCACTGAGGGCCAGATCAGGTGAGAAGGGAGAATGTTCCAATGTATTTACTGGCTAAAAACTCCCTCACAGATAGTGCTGTGTGAGCTGGTGCACTGTCGTGATGCAAGAGCTCCTTCAGGACCATTTTCATTCCAAGATTTTCAGTTAAGATTTTCCTGTCTTTCTATTGATGTTTATTTGGTCTACTATGCTTCTCACAGTCAGTTGATGACTTTGATGCACAATTTAATAAATTTTTGCAATGTTTTCATCAGTGCTGCTCGTTACTGGCCATCCTGACCTCTCTTCATCAATGAAGCTTTCTTTCCTCTCAGAAAAACGTTTAAGCCATTTGTACACTGCCATTTTCTTCATGGCATTATCCCCATAAACTTGGACTAACATGTCCCTGATTTCACTTTCACTCTTTCCAAATTTGACAAGAAATTTAATGTTTGTTCATTGCTCTGATTCAAGTTCCGATAGCACACAAAAACATGCAACAACAATAATGAATGCCACTCTACAAGACACTACCACATGTCAACACAAACACAGTTGTGAGACAATGATATGCCAAGGTTAGGAAACATTACTGAGTTGTTTGTACATTGTTGCCAACATAAGTGCACAGTGGCAAGTTCACAAACTTAATTGTTAGACCTCACAATACATTCTTTTAGCTTGTTAAAAAATTTCAGTAGCTTTAGAGTGTACAAATGGTTTACAGTTATAGGGATGCATTGTGTAGTGGTGAAGAAGTCTGGGCTTTAAGTTCCCACCACTCCACTTGTACACACTGTATCTGACAGGTGATTTTCCATACCTCCACTGCTTGCCACCCCCGCCCTTCTGCATCTCCAACACCCATTATTCCATTCTCTATTCCTTAGCTCCCATTTATAAGTGAGAGCATGCCATGTTTGAGTTTTCATTCCTGTATTATTTTACTTAGAATGATGGTCTCCAATTCCATCCATGTTGCTGCAAAAGACTTGATTTCATTCTTTTTTATGACTGAATCGTGTACCATGGTACCTATTTACCACATGTTTATTATCCACTAACTCAAAGAGAATCCATTCGTGCATGAGGAAGAAAAACAACACAACCCATTATACCATCAGTCTCTATGTCCCCCCATCTCCAGAAGGGAGCCATGTTTGATAAACATTTTTAATATTTCCAGTCCTTAACACAGAGCTTTGGTCACACAAAGTGCTCTGTAAGTGCACCTGCCACTGCCACAGAGCTTCTTCATAAACAGAAAAATGGAGAGAGGAATTTGCAGCGACTTCTCCAGCCAGACCTGGAGGACTAGCTGAGGTAGGCATGGGGACTCTACAAACCTGTTCCACATCCTAGGCCAACCGCGTTCACTTCAGATTTAGTTGCTCTTAACAGACTTCTTGTTTAAATGCATATACTCCCTGGGAAAGTTCCTTCACATTCTCGTGGGGACTCTGACTGCCGGAAGGCAACATGAAGACCCCAGAGCTAAGTCTGGGAACAGAATGTGGTGCTGCTCCTGACTTCACCCAGACTCCTGGTGTGGTAGGACTCAGGTCATCTCCCAGACTTCCAGCTACTCCTACAACACTTATCCCATGGGTTGTCAAAATCTAAGTTAAGAGTAACCACCTGTTTTGGAAGACTAAATTTTAACTACTTGTCATGCAGCTCAGTTGAGAAGCTTCCCTGCCAGCCCAGAGACTCTCAGTCCAACCCTAGAATTGCTGTTTGTTCGTTTGTTTTTTGAGTTGGAGTCTCACTCTGTCACCCAGGCTGGAGTGCAGTAGCACGATCACAGCTCACCACAGTCTCAACCTTCTGGGCTCTGGCGACCCTTCCACCTCAGCCTCCTGAGTAGCTGGAACTACAGGCACTTGCCACCACACTCAACTTAGTTTTTGATTTGTATTGTTAGAACCAAGGTGTTGCCAAGTTGCCCTGGCTGGTCTCAAACCCAAGGGCTCAGGAAGCCCTCTCACTTCTGCTTCCCAAAGTGCTGGGATTACATGCATGAGCCACTGTACCCAGTTCATTCCCAGAATGGCGACACTGAAGAACTGTGTGTCTCCCTGGCCCCTGCCTTTCTCCTATTTGATATTTGGGCTCTGTCAGCAGGTTTCCCTGCCCACAAGAACAGTTTAATCTACCTCTACTCCAGAATGGATTGTATTGCTGGCAAAATCATATTAGCCAAGCGCTTCATTTTAAGATAAGGATATCCAAGAAAGCACAGTGGTTACTCGAGCAGAGGGAATGGACAAAATAGTAAGCAACAGATCCAAAACAAACTATACACAAAAGAACCAGACATGGGCAGTAAGTCCCAGGTGACTAACATGATGGAGGATAACTCTCACACTCACCAGCCTCAAGCATCTCCAGACAAGTGTCAGAGGCTAACACCAGGCTCAAAGAACTCTGAGTTTGCTTCCATCTTCAGATATTCTGAGCAAGCAGGCTGTTGGCTAGAGTGATTTCCCTGAGACCTCTCTCCTTGGCTTCTAGATGGCTCTCTTCTGTCTCTGGGTTCACAGGGTCCTCTCTCGTGCTCCTCTGTGTCCCTAAACCTCTCATTATAAGGACTCCAGTCATATTGGATTAGGGCCCACCCAATGGACTCTTTCTGCATCCACCATTCCCACATTTACACATGCATATGCTTTCTTCTTGCCTCCACAGAAAATCAGATGACAAAAAAGTTTGAGTTAGACTCAAAAGAAGAAAAGAAGAAAATCAATGAATCCTACAATGCAGTCTTTGATAACTTCATTCGAGAGAAGGAGGTAACTCAGTCCAAAGTGCATCAGTGTTGAGTATCTTGTCCTAGAGGCCCATTTGAGTTCCTGGGTGTGCCCCTGTTATTGGTGATCTTCACGGGCACACTCCTCTGTGGGGGGCCAGCCCCTGAAAAGAGATTTAGGGGGTCCCTTGGAAGGTGTGGTGGCATCGGCGATTTTGTAGGGATAGATATTAAAAGAAAGAAAGCGACTGGGGGAGAAAGAAAGAAACTGGACTCTGTCTAGTGCAGAAGCTGATTCTGTAGGAGGGATAGATATTAAAAGAAAGAAAGATAGAGGGATAGATATAAACAGAAAGAAAGAGAAAGAAATTAAGTGGACAACTGTTCGACGGATTGAGCAGAAGCCATTTATTGGAACTTACAGCAGGTATTTATCCCCAAGTTTTATACAGACAGTCTCACAAGTCTTTCACGTGAACACAAAGCCAGGTGCAGGAGGGGCGTCCCCCAAGCACGAGGTGTTTCCTCAGGTATGAGGAAGAGCTATCCCAATTAAATCACAAAACTTTTACATGAACACAAAGCCAGGTGAATGAGGGGCATCCCTCACCCACCCGGTGTTTCCTGGAGTATGAGGAAGGGCAATCCCAATTAAATCACAAGACATTTACATGAACATAGAGCCAGGTGGATGAGGGGGCGTCCCCCACCCACCAGGTGGTTCCCCAAGCATGAGGAATGAGGATCTCAAAACTATCTCACTGTTCCTCGTGCTTGGTTAATATTTCTCAAAAGCATTACAACAATTCTAACATCATAATATTCTAATAATCAATAACTTTTAAAACTTATGCATACACAACACCTAATAACCAAGCTAAATCCCAATTCCTCTCTATTTTACGCTAATTCTACCTACACTATAGAAACTCTTAATTATAGCCCAAACCAATTCCTAAGGAATGTGGCCCAATCAAAAGATCACGCTGGGTCGTTTCTGGGAACAATAGATTACAATCTCTTAACAAAATGGCTGCTCCGAAATCCTATAAATCTATTTTAACTTTTATAAAAGTTTCTAATTCCTAATTCTGATCATCAGCAATAAAGCTTCTAAAAAATAAAACCCAAATATAAACTGTAAATTGTATTAAAGCCAAAACTGCAAATGTAGAAAATGGAAACAATGTAATTTCTAAAGTTAGCTGTATTCTTATTAAACCTCAAAATATCCTACCTGGGCAGGCGAGACCTCATCTCTACAATAAATCAAAAAAATCAGCTGGGCGTGGTAGCGCACACCTGTAATTCCGGCTACTCGGAAGGCTGAGGCGGAAGGATCACTGGAGCCCAGCAGGTTGAGGCTGCAGTGGCCAGAAGCGGCCACTGCACTCCAGTCTAGGCGACAGAGTGAGACTCCAACTCAAAAAAAAAAAAAAACAGACCGCAAAATATCATGTTTGATCATGCTTGAACTGACATAATTCACTGACGTAGCATAACCTATTCTACAATACTTTCTATGAATAAAATAAATTCAATTTCTATAATAAGTAGAAAAACCTTATACTAACTGTAGCTAAAAACCAGTTTAAAGGAAAGCAGCCTAGTCCAAAGTAAGCGCTGGGCCCTTAGGAAAGTGGCCCAGCCCAAAGTTCGTGCTGGGCCTTTAGGAATGTGGCGTAGCCCAAAGTTTGTGCTGGGCCGTTTCTAATAGCTCTAGATATTTATTGGTATTATTAAGATTGAAACAGCACTTTGTATGTATATACTAATTCTACAAATATACTATTAGATCTTAAAAGAAGCTTGTACCGTATTAAAGGCTCCCAAATGTGACCTGAATTTGAATTATGTTAAGTTTAAAGCCGAAACCACAGTCTATGAGAAACAGGAACAATGAACTCCTAAAGTAAGCCATGCCTGTCATACTCTCAGAACTTCATGCTTGGATCATCAAAGTCCCTGCTAGTGGAACATGCCAAACAGCAAAGAAGGGAAGAGGGAATGGGCCTTCAGCTCCTGAGATCATCCTAGTGGTCTCAGGGTCCACAGCCTGCCTGGATCCCTAACACTCAGGCAGGCCTCCATGGCTGGCTCCCAACACTCCTCCTCTCCCAGCTTTCCAGGAGCTATATGCATGTAGGCCGACAGGCTTGCTGTCCTTTAGCTGGTCAGTCTTGCCACTGGGTTATTGGGCGGTCTTACCACTGAGTTATAAAACTGACGAGATAGTCTTACCACAGGCTAGGCAGTCTTACCAAAGTGTTGTTAGAATGAAAATTACAATTAACAGAACATAACAGAATTCTATACATGCAGAACCTGCAATTCCCTCTTTTGCCGAAACCTCATCTCTGAATGTCCTTGCCATCCTTGACTCATTGTGGTAGCTGTGGTGCCACTACAGGCTGTAGGGCAGAGTTAGGTTTAACTTACAAAAAATTGCCAAACTATTTCCCAAAGTAGTTGTACCATCTTACTCTTGCATCATAAATATATGAGAATTCTAGTTACTCCACAACAATTCGTGTTGCCATTGGCCATTCCCATGAGTATGAACTGGTATTTCAAGATGGTTTTGATTTCCCTGCTGACTAATTATGCTGAACAATTTTTCACATGTTTATTGGACCATTCATATGTCTTCTCATAAAGTATCTTCTTAAGTCTTTTGCTGTTTGAAAAAATTAGAGCTGCTTATGTTTTTACTATTGATATGTAGGAGCACTTTTTATATTGTGGGTACAAGTTTTTTTGTCAGATATACGTGCTGCAATATTGTCTTCCAATTGTGGTTTGCCTTTTCATTTTGTTGATGTCTTTTGATGTGCAGACATTTTCAATTTTGATGAAAGGCAAATTATCAGTTTTTTACTTTTGTAGTTACAGTTTATTGTGTCCTCACTATGTAATCTTTGCCTATTCCAAGGTCATGAAGATATCCTTTTTTTAAAAGAAACCTGTAATTTTAACTTTTATGATTCTATGGCCCATTTTGACTAAGTTCTGTGTATGGAGTGAGGTAGAGGTCATAGGTCATTTTTGTCCATATGGGTATTCAGTTATTCTAGCACCATTTTTTGAAAAATTGTTTCTTTCTCTGATGAGTTGCCTTGGTCTCTTTGTTTATTTGGGGAGGGGTCAGACTCTCCATTCTGTTCCATTTTACTATTTATCTATACTGAGACCAACAACACATTGTCTTAATTACTGAAACTTGAAATCAGGTATTAAAGATCATCTAAATTTGCCATTGTTTTTCAAGATTATTTTTTCTTTCTATATCCTTTGCATTTTCATATAAATCTTAGAACTTGTCAATTTAGAATTAGTTTGTCAAAAAAGCACGCCGGTAGTTTGACTGGGATTGCATTGAATATAAAGACCGATCTGTATACATTTGAACGCTTAAAAGTATTGAATCTGTTTTGACTTAAGAAAAGCTTTTGATGAAAATGTAATTTCTTTTAACATTTGTCAGTGTAGTAAGGTTGTGCATAAGTAAGTTTTTCATTAACTTCAACATGTCATGTCACTAGTTTATAATGTATGCTTCATTATACCAGCATCTAAGCTTTGGTGAATATTATATTCCTGAATCCTATTCTGGCTTTCTTAACTTCCTAAAGTAAGTGCCAGACCTTCTGTGCTGACCCTTTCCAAATAAAATTGTTTTCAGGAGCTCTTGAAACAACATGAAAGTGACACCTTGCAATTAGAGGAGCTGAAAAAGACCAAAGGGGTAAGCTCAATCATCCTTTCCTATGGACTTGGTATTTATAAATACACCAGCAAGGCCAGGCATGGTGGCTCATGCCTGCAATCTCAGCACTTTGGGTGGCCAAGGTGGGGGGATTGCTTGAGCCCAAAAGTTGGAGACCAGCCTGGACAACATAGAGACCTCATCTCTCCAAAAAATCCAAAAATTAATCGGGTGTGGTAGTGCACATCTGTGGTGCCAGCTACTTGGAGACTGAGGCAAAAGGATACCTGAACCCAGGGGGTCCAGGTTGCAGTGAGCTGTGATCACATCACTGCACTCCAGCCTGGGTGACAGAGACAATGCAAAATGACCAGGTATAGTCTAGTGCTGTGCACAACGCAATTGCAGTTCATGATCTGTTCATGCATCTTGGGGGATGATCATTACATGGGAAGGGCTCTAGGGCCCTGAGGACATGTAGAATTAGTGGGGCTATTGCCTGGAGGCAGAGACTCATTGGGTTTTTGTGTGTTTGTTTGTTTTAACTCTTCAGCACCTAACAGAGTGCATGTAGGTGAATGTAGGTGCTGATTATGAGGTTCTACACAGATAAATATAAGCACAATATGTTCCCTTCAGAGAACAAAGAACGACTAGTCCTCTTGGGGTGGGGTGTGTGAGAGAATCAGGAAGGTCACAATGCAGCACTTGAGCTGGTTTTGACAGCTGAGTGTTTCTGAACCTCAGAATGCAGAGAGGGTGAGATGTTCAACCCAAGAGAAGAACATGAGACAAGTTGGCAAAATAATGAAAGAAGCTGGCATATGGAAGGAAGAGCAAGACAGCTCAGGAAAGGTAGCTTAGGGCCCATGGCTAAGAGGCTCTTAGTTCCGACTAGACTCTTACATCATGCAGTACCACAGGCCATTTGCACTGGACTTGCTCAGAAGGCTCTGGGGTGGGAAGCAGCCTTCCAGGAGGCAGAAGCAGGGAAGTCCTCTTCTGTGGGAGCCTCATAATGGTCCTCACAGGAGTTCTAGGCTAGTCTTGCGTGGCCCACAAGAAATAGTTCAGGGAGAGGAAATGAGACTTACAGATGTAGGAGCTGGAGCTATCCTGGCTTAAAAGGCTCACGTTCCAATATCCTTTGTAACAGATGCACAGACATAACCTTCATGTCATGCCCACTTACAAGAGTCACTGCCCCGGGGAAGCCCAAAGCCATGGCTTTCTCCCAGATGCTTGTGTTTCTCCACAATCCTCCCAGGCCAGATGCAGCTCACCGATCTGGGTCATTTTACTCCAAGCAACATCACTTGGTAACACGGATGGGTAGTCTAGTCGTCTTCCAGGAGAACAGAACATCCAGTGTGCCCATCGACAAGGACGAAGAGGTCTCGTTCTTGTGTAACACTGCACTCCTGGGGCCTTCACTGACCCTGTGTATCATCACAAGCAGTCAATATTTAACTCTGTAGATAGTGAGGAACACCTGAGGTTTTGAGGAAGAGAGTATCATTCGGGAGACGAACTCCGGCAGCAGTGTGAGGACAGCCTGAAGAGTGAGAAGGATGGGAGGCAGAGCCCTGTTAGAAAGGTCACCTCCTGGCTGGGTGTAGTGGCTCAACCTGTAATCCCAGTACTTTGGGAGGTCATGGCGAGAGGGTTACCTGAACCTGGGGGTTCGAGACCAGTCTGGGCAACCTGGTGAGACCTCATCTCTACAATAAATCACAAAAACTAGCCAGGCGTGGTGGCATGTGTCTGGAGTTTCAGCTACTTGGAAGGCTGAGGCAGGATCGCCTAAGCCCAGCAGGTCGAGGTTGCAGTGGCCATGAGTGTGCCACTGCACTCTAGTCTGGGAAACAAGAGTGAGACTCCAACTCAAAAAAGAAGAAGAAATGTCACCTTCCATTTACACCTCCACCTGGCTTCTGCTCCCACCCACTTGTAGAAATTGCTCTGAGTAAAGTCATCAATAACTTCCAAGGTGCAGTGCCAGGTGAAAAAGATCACGTCTTGAAACATGCACCTCTTTCAGCTTTCACAGTCTTCTGGTGTTTTCTTTACCTCCTCAGCCATGCCTCCTTTGCTAGGTCCACCCTTCCACCTCATGTATAAGTTCTGGGATGTTCCAGGGTGTGGTTCTAGCCCCCAGCCCCCTGCCTGTATCTCCCCTTTCTCTTTAGGTGAGCTCATCTGTTCACATCTCTGTGCTGGCAGCTTGAGTTGATGCTCCAGCCTCTCCTCTCCTCTCAGAGCTCCAGCTTGCACACCCAGCTGCCCGTGTGACATCTTGACCTCGATGACTTACAGACACTTCAGAATTAGCATGTCCAGCTCCACATTCCTGATTGCCTACTGGCCATTGGAGCCCTCAATCGTCAACTCCATCAGCTCAGACAGAGTCATCCTTGACTTCTTCTTTCCTTTCACTACCCAAAGTCATCCATCATCATCAGCCAATCTTCGACAACACATCCCAAATTCACCCCATTCTCTCTAACTCTATTGCCACCATTCCTGGGTCCATAATTCTCACCTGCACTACAGGAGAACTCCCAGCCTTCATTGCCCGCACTATGTAGTACACCTCTCCTTCATTGCCTGCATCTGTAGTACTCTCCTTCTTCATTACTTAAATCCAGTAGTATTCTTCTCCTTTGTTCTCTGCACCATAGTAGTACCCCACGTCACTCCCTTACTATGCAGTACTCTCCTTGACTCCCTGCAGGATGTAGTGCTTCCCTCCTTCTTTCCCTGCACTATGTAGTACTCTCTTTCTTTATTCCTTACAGTCCAGTGTGAAAGAACGGACTGAAAGCAAGAAGCCACTTTGTTTTGTTCCTAAATCTTAACACACTAATAAGAAAGTAAAAGCTGTGTCCTGGAGGAATGCATACTTTAGATAAAGATTAACTTTGCTGACTTTGTCTTTTCAGAAACCCAGATCCCTCAAACATGACCAGTATCTGCCCATTGTAATCATAGAGCAGTCCTCCTCTCTTCCTCAAGGTCTACAGACCACCTACCCTGGGAGGCATCTGTGGTTCTGGCCTTGGTGTATTGTTAATAGTTTACTGTGACCGGTCTCCAGTCCACCTGGAGTCATGAGATACCAGAGCCTGGTGATGCCAAGACACAAGACTGTTATCTACATCAAAAAGTGCAACTTTAAACAATCTCCTTGATCCAAACTCTTCTCCAAGAGCTTTAAATATACCCAGTTCCCCAGCCTTCAGGGCCACACTCAGAATGCTGGCCCTCTTCTTGTCTGTGGGAAGTGATCTTTTCTTAAATCAATCTTTTCTTTCTTCATCTCTTGGTGTGTTGCAAATCTTTGTGTTACTTGGATCTCTGGTAACCAGCGCACACCTCCAGCACGATGGTTCCAGCAGTGCTGTGCCCCCTCCAGACCCTCTGTCCCTAACACAGTGGTACTCTTCTCTCTTGTTTCTTCAGAGAGTACAGTAGTATTCTCTGTCATTCGCTTACTATATAGTAGTCTCTTCCTGCATTCCCTGCACCACGGTCATACTCTCTGCCTCATTCCCTGCAATATGTAGTACTCTCTTCCTTTGTTGCTTTGATTTTCCTCTTGGCTCCTCCAATCCACTCTCCACTTGGCAGTGAGATAAATGAAAACAGTAAGATACATACAAGCGCTTCCTTTCCTTAAACCCTTCAGTGCCTAAAACCCATTTTTCTCGGGTTACCTCATCCTCTCTGGTCAACCTGGCTCCTCTAAACTCCTCCTCTTAGCCCTCAGTTCTGCTTGCTATCTCTGTTCCAGCTACACTGGCATTTCTTCATGTCCTCAAACACACACAACATTTTGCCTTCTCAGGTCTGTTGTACAGTCTCCCATTCATTCTTTAGTAGAAGCTAATTAGTTTTTAAAATTAATAAACTATTTTTTAGGGTCGTTTGAGGTTTACAGAAAAATTGGGCAGAAAGGACCAAGAGTTCCCATATACACCCCACCCGCCCCACCCCTAGTTTCCTCTGTTATGAGCATCTCACACAAAGGTGGTACATTAGTTGCAATTGATGAGCACATATCGGTGCATTGTTATTCACAAAAGTCCATGGTTTATATTAGGGTTCACTCTTTGTGTTGTACATTCTGTGGGTTTTGTCTAACATATCATGTCATGCATCCACTATTGCAGTGCAGTGTCCTACAGAAAGCTTCACTGTCCTACCTAGTCAGTCCTCCCTCTCCCCTCAACCCTTGGAAACCACTGCTGTTTTTACTCTCTATAATTTTGCCTTTTTCAGGGTGTCATAGAGTTGGAATCAGCAGTAGGTATTCAATAACATTGTGCTTGGTGAATGCATGGATGACAGCCATTGTAACAGCCCACCTGAGCTCTGGCGAAGCCTGGCTCTGTGGCAGAGCTAGTGGGGTAGGGGAGGAGGGTTTTGACGGTGACACCGAGAGGAGCTAGAACCAGTGGAGTGTGATACGTGATTGGCTGAGTGGTGCAGGATACCACTTTGCTCCTTTACATTCTAGCCCGGGGCTCTGGAGAAGAAAATAACTAAGTAGAGAGTGGCATGACGTTTTAACACAGTTTCTTCTCATGCAGGTCATGGAGGAAGAGTTGCATGCACAAGCTCTTATCCTAGAGTCACTTAACACAAACCTCTACCATACCCAGTTGGAACTCCAGAAAGAAGTGAGTCCTGACCAGTGTGGGGAAGGGGACTGGGAAAGAACCCAGGTCTCTGTACAGTTCTGCCATGCATCTCTGCCCTGGATGGCTCAGTCTGGGGACAACAGCTATTAAAGCTTTTATCTTTCAGAAAACGGCCGTGGGGAATCTGGAGAAAACATTACAGACCAAGCTTGCTGAAGCTGAAGAGAAGTATAAGTACACCATACAGATCCTGACGGAAGAGAACATTCACCTAAGGTGCGGTGGCTGCTGCTCAAATAGACATAGCTGAGCCAGGCATGGTGGCTCATGCATGTAGTCCCAGCATTTTGTGAGGCTGAGGCAGGAGGATCACTTGAGGTCAGGAGTTTGAGACCAACCTGGGCAATATAGTGAAATGCCATCTCTATAAAAATAAAAAATTAACTGAGCGTGGTGATGTGCCTGTAGTCCCAGCTACTGGGGAGGCTGAGTTGGATCACTTGAGCCTAGGAGTTTGAAGCTGCAGTGAGCTATGATCATGCCACTGCACTCCAGCCTGAGTGACAGTGCGAGACCCTGTCTCTAAAAAGTAAAAAATTCTAAATAAATAAATAAGACATGGCTGAATTCTCCTTAGGAGTGGGAAGCCTTTTGAGTGAGGAATAGGTGAAGAAATGGGAGGTGTCAAGGCACAGGCACTTCCAGGCAGGAGATGTGTCCCTATGAGCCTTGACACAGAAGTACTTTCAGTGGTCAGTTCATTTGAGGTGGAGCTGGTGTCTAGACTTCTCCCTATTACCTGCTCCCCTATTTTTATGCAAAATGACAGACAATTTCTCTGCTAGTTTCTTGGTTTATTCAGTTCTATAACTGAAAATTTTTTTTTCTTGAGACAGGGTCTCACTCTATCACCGAGGCTGGAGTTCAGTAGCATGATCACAACTCACCACAGACTCAGACTCCTGGGCTCAAGCAAACCTTCTGCCTCAACCTCCCAAATAGCTGGGACTACAGGCATGCACCACTACACTCAGCTAAATTTTGTGTTTTTTGTAGTGATGAGGTCTCAGTATGTTACCCAAACTGGTCTTGAACTCCTGAGTTCAAGTAATTCTCCTTCCTCGGCCTCCCAAAGTGCAGGGATTATAGGCATAAACACTGTACCCACCCAAAGGTGGTTTTCCAATCCATGTCCCCTGAGAATTTGGTGATTTACCCTTAGATGCAGCTGCTTCTGGTCCTTGTGGAAATCAACTTCAGATCAGAAATTATATTGTTGCCTGAAGATGCATCTTAAATCAGTAAAGTGAATTTTGATCTAAACTTTAAAAAGGAATGTTAGTCATTGCATTAATTTAGTAGAAAATTCCTCATATGGGAATTTGGTCACCTAAACACCTAAACTCCCTGAATTCAAAACCACTGCAACCCCACCAGGCATGGTGGCTGCCATGCCTGTCATCCCAGCACTTTGGGAGATCCAGGTTGGAGCATCGCTGAAGCACAATTCAATCAAGACCAGCCTCGACATCATAGTAAGACCGCATCTCTACCAAAAAAAAAAAAAAATTTTTTTAAGATGTGGAGTACAATTCAGGATTAGGTATACAAATATTCATGGTACAGGTAAAGTTTGGACTTCCCTTTGGTCTCCACTTTGCCTGGTTTGAGATCAGTTACTCTTATTGATGTTGTGTTCCCCCCACCCATCTACCCCGGCAGTATCCTGCTACTGCCAATCCCTTTCTTACAGTATTATGGTAAATGTTCAGGGTCCACTTATGAGTGAGAACATGTGGTACTCTGTTCTTTGTTTCTGTGATAGATCACTGAGTCTGATAGACTCTAAACTCATCCGAGTTGCTGCAAAGTCCATATGTGTGTCCTTCCTTATGGCCGCATGATATTCCGTTATGTAGATATACCACATTTTTTAAATCCAGTCCTATTTCGATGGGCAGCACGGTTGGTTGCATGTTTTTGCTATTGTGAACAGTGCTGCAATAAACATGTGTGTGCAGGTATCTTTTTTGGAGAATGATTTGCGTTCCTCTGGGTATATTCCCAGTATGGGGATTGCTGGGTCATATGGAAAGTCAATGTCTAGTTCTAGAAATCACCACACTGTCTTCCAAAGAGATTGCCCTACAAAAAAACATTTTAAATAAAAGTAAATTTTAAAAACTACCACAAGAAATTATGAGAATGCCCCAGATGAAGGAATGAAGCCACATTTCTCTCACATTTCAGGCCTACAAAATATCCTATACTCATTCTAACTTCTGAGTCTATATTGATGCATCTTTCTTTTTACAGGCAAAAGCTAATTGCCAAGAATGAAGAAATTTATGAAGGACGTTCTGAGAAGTTGGCCTCTACCACTTCTTATGAGTATACTTTTGACATTCTAGAAGATGATAGTCTCAAAGATCAAGAATTATAAACAAAAAGTTACTCTGCCGCTAAGGATGGCAGACACACAATCTCTGTCGGCCTAGGGAACTTTTGGGAAGGTTTCTTGGGAAATGCATATCAGGAGTTTAGTTCTTGGGTTGCTCTGACTCTGTTTTTGTCTCTTCAAAGTTCTTTCTTCTGAGTGGTTGGGAATATCTGAATTCTCATATCAAGGGCACGGCTCTTCATTGGAAAATGATGTTCTTTGTACCTGGAGCTGAACTTTCTCTGGGCTTTGTGCTGTTTTTCTTCCACTGTTCCACATTTCACTAGAAGGAGACTGATTTGACAACCTTTTTCCTATTGAACGTTGGCTGCATTGGGGGTATACCTTGTGTCTCCTTGTGCATTTAGCCAGCAAAAAAGGTAACTTATCGATTTGCTTCCATAACCTTTTTCTCTCATCTGCATGCCCTCCACTTCCCACCTCTCGATCGTTTCCCTAATCTGTGACTGAAGAAGAGTGTCTGATGATTCTTGCCACCATTACCAGAATTCAGATGCCCACAGGGCAGGCAACAGAAATAAGTGAAGTGGGCTGGACATAGGGGAAATGCCAGTGCGTGTGCACATGCACGCGTGCACACACACACAGTCATGAGTAGTCATTGACAGCAACCCGGATGGATGGAGGAACTGGACAGGGTCGGGGTAGAGGGGGTGGGGTCGGGTAAAGAGCAGAGCACATGCCCTCTGAAGGATACTCTTCCCTTCTCCAACCCATTGCCAACCCATACAGGAGCATGGGGTCAATGCTGTCAGAGCCTCTGACTTTTGTAGAAGAGGGCATTCACTGGTTTTCATGTGATATCTCCCAATGTTTAAATGTTGGCAACAGATTTCAACAATACAACATGCAAGGCTCAAGGAAAACATGTCTGTGATCTAAACATTTTTTTCCACCTGTGAGATGCTGTCGCCAAGAAACAAAAACTAAACAAACACAAAAATGAACTCCAAGGAAAAGTAAGACAAAATTATATTTTATTCTGTTAAAAACATTTTTGAAAGAAGATTCTGAAAAAAGGATTTCAATTTTAAAGATAATGTGAGTTCTAAGAACTTAGAACAAACCAAGCACAGAAAGACATGGGAAATACAAATGCATACAGGACGACAGCATAAGAATGCCAGTGCATTATGGACAAAGCATCACAATGCAGAAAGTAAGTATGTATACCAGAGTGTGTATACATCATATCATCAGGTGGAAAAGAAGCCCAAAAAAGTGTTTAAGGGATAGATTATTTGTATATTTAATTTTAAAAATACTTTAACGAATATTTTTGATTTTTTATCTCTAAACATTTTTGTTTGGTAGTGTGGAATTTTTTTATTGAAAATTTAAAATATAGCTTAAAAGTGCAAAATAGTAATAAATTAAGAAAAAAAATCACAGATTAATAAAGAATTCAGCATAGTGTTATGCATCTAAAGAGCAGTGTCACTTCAGAGGGAGTCTGAGTTTTTTCCTTAGTGTGAAGGTGGGCTGAGGCATCTGCTTCCCCATGTTCTTGTCATCCTTGTGGCTTACTTCGTAGTTCACGTCAGTCAGGATGGAGAGGAGGTCATCACCTCTGAAAAACAGGCATGACATGGTGACCACCCGTGGGGAAGAAACAACTCATGGCTCTCTCATCTGCTGTGCTCCATGATCATGCTGAAGTCCCTTCTCCCAAAACATCAGTCACTTGGGACAATAACTTGCTAACCCAAGACCTACCCCAGTTTTTCAGGTGAATGAGTGGTCTCAGAGCTCAATACAGTAAGCCCTCTACATAGGCCCAAGTTCCACTCTGAGGGTGCATTCATAAGTCTAATTTCTTCGTAAGTCCAACAAAATTAGCTTAGGTATCCAACTAACACAATTGGCTATATAGTACTGTAATAGGTTTATAATACTTTTCACACAATACATAAATAACAAACAAAAAATAGAGAAGACATTTTTAAACTTACAGTACAGCATGTGACAACATACTACAGACATGTGCACTAATGTACATGATTGAATATGCAAATGCACACTTGCATTTTTGAAAGTTCACAACTTGAAGGTTTGTATGTAGGGGACTTACTGTAACTGCCCATTGATTTATTCGGGATCTCTGTGAAGCATCAGTAACCTCAGTGTCAGCATTAGATTTTGCTTCTGTCCTTCCTGACCTATGTGTATCTCGTTCTGCTCCATTTTCCTTGGCCCCCACAATTGCCTCAATGTCCCCCAATAACCTGTGCCTCAAATTGACATTGCTTCTGTGGATTCATCTTTGATGCAACTAAACCTAGGGTGAGTGAAAGCTGGATGTCCCCTCAGCTGCCCCCACTTTCTTCTCTCCAGGCTGTCTTGGCAGTTTTGTTGAGCAACCTTTCTATTTACTGCAATAGCTACTCTGAGGCCTTGCAGTAGTCATGCACTGAGTTACAAAATGAAAACATCACCCAGAGGTAGCAGGTCCCTCTTTTACGTGCCATGGGAAATTCTTGCTCTCCGTGCACTCAAAACATAATGAGATTCAGATAGAAGGAACCCAGGGAAGAGCCTTTGCTGTTCATCTACTAGCTGCGTGGGCATTTGAATGAGATGTGCCATAGGAAATCACAATTTAACTAAAGGAAGCACATAATATAATAAAGGATGGAAGGATATTTCCCCACATCTTGTGGCTTCAAAACAGGCCAGATTTGTAGAAATATAAAGAGTTCCTACTCTTGGCCACTTATTTCCCACAATGCACTAGAAGGGTTTGAGGATGGTTAGCTATTTTAGAACTTTTGATAGAGTTGAAGGATGTCAAACATTGAAGCAGGTTACTGCCTTCTTGGAAGACTTCCACAATTAGAGTTGGCTCAGTCATGTTTCTGCCTGAAGACAGAGGGCTGGACTATATGACTTTAGTACCTTTCTTGCTCTGTGATACCCTGACCGCCCTTTGAGATGCTAAGGAATAAAGTATCTCTGTTTTTCCCTCTATAAACTGAAGATCTTCCCACTTCCCAACTGAAGTATAGCTATGTGACCCACAGTTAGATATTTAGAGATGAGTGGAAAGATTCTCCTTGGACACATCTCCAAGATCTGTTAGTATCTCAACCACGGAGCACTTTCGAGTGAGCTCAGAATATGAACAGGTAGCTGTGGCAGTCGGGGAGGGGACAGGCAGTGGAGTAGGCAAACTTACCGGGGACATCTTTCTCTCAGGCTCCGGCAAAGTGACTGGATATACCAAGTTCCCTCCACAGTACTTCGGAAGGAAACGTAGTTATCCACGGTGGCCATCCCCAACAGAAAGTCGGCCTCTTCTGGGATATATCTCCTCTGACATAAGTCCATTTCTAAATAATCACCCTTCTGCTCTGAGTCGGTCTCAACAGGTACACCTTTCTGGTAGTTATCCCCTTGACAGGCCTGAATAAAAAAGAGTTTGGGTTTTCCAGCAAGGGAAGGACACCGCAAACCAGTGAAATAAGATGTCAGGTTATAGATGGAGACCTCTTGACCATCGGTGCCGTAGATGATGCCCTTGTCTCCGTGGGAGAGGATGCAGCAGATGAAGCAATCCTTGTTGCTGTGGTCCGTGCTTTGGTAGAACTTCAGAATCTCACAAAGTTTGCTGGCTGTGCAGTCTTTGTAATCTACTACCTCAAAGAGAAGCTTGGTAAAGGTCTCGCGCAAAGCCTCTGTGAAGTGAAATGTAAAAAGTCATGTTATTTCCTGGACCATAAACCAGAGCTAGAGAGAACAGTGGGCTGAACGTGGACAGATGAGAATTTGACCCAGAAACAAGAGAGCAAGGTTGTCTACGTTAGTAGTCAGATTCTATAGGCTTCTAGTGTTTATTGCCACCTGCTGAAAATGTTCCCAAACCCTGAAGAGAATGAGAAAAGGGAGATTATTCTTGTGAGGCTGTTTTTTCTTCTGAACTAGTTTTCAAGACAGGTAAACTACTAGTTAGGCTTACTACCAAGCCAAAAGATGCCTATATTTCTTACATAATCAGAAAAAACCACGGTTTGAATAAAATATCCATATTTATTTTATGTAGAACCCTCTCAAAGTTACTCATATTCATCAAAATAAAGGGTATGTGTTGTTGTTTAAAAAAAAAAACTAAAACATCTTTTACAAAAATGGTTGCCCCTTTCTCTTTCCCTCCCGATTCCCTACTCATAATCCAGAAAGGCAACCACTTTCATCTTTTAACTACTTTTTCCACATTAGCCCCTATTTTGTAATGAATTTAGGTACTCTGCTATTTATTCATTTATAAACTTTAGACTTTTGTATTGAGCTCTTATTATAAAGGATAAGCATTTGGTGCTCTTACACAATTATTTACAATTATTGGTTGATTCCATAGTAATGTATCTATTATTAAGACTATGTATGGCTGGGTACGGTGGCTCACACCTATAATCTCAACACTTTGGGAGGCTGAGACAGGAGGATTGCTTGAGCCCAGGAGTTCGAGACCAGCCTGGGTAACATAGCGAGACATCTCTACAAAAAAAATTAAAAATTAGCCTGGCATGGTGGCACATGCCTGTAGTCGTAACTACTCAGGAAGCTGAGGCAAGAGGTTCGCCTGAGCCCGGAAGGTCAAGGCAGTAGTGAGTCGTGATCGTGCCACTGCACTCCAGCCTGGATAACGAAGGGAGACCCTGACTCAATAGACAAACAAATAAATAACTTTTTAAAATAAAATAAGGGCCATTGCTCTGTTAAACTCTGGTCTGGCCATGTGGCTCTTTCAGCTATGGCCGCCATGTTTCCTAACCTTGGCCCCCTCCCCTACCTTGGGGAGGTGAATTTAATCTCTCTCGCTCTCTCATTTACTTTCTAAATAAACTATATTTTCTAATTTAAATAAGTAAATAGATAGATACAAAATCTTCAAATAGGTATGTTTGAATAAGCAAATTAGATGTTAACTGGAACCATTTCAGAGTCCTAATGATCATAATCAGTCTCACTGGTTTTCTAAACTATGCTCCATTTACAAAATGGGTCAATAACTGATGCCTTAACCCATGAACACTATTGTCAAGAGTTCTTTGCTCAAATCAAAATCATTAATATCTTAATGGTTGGGTTGGATAATTTTTATTATTACTTTTACTTGTAGTCATTTTTTAATATTCACATAACAGATTATTTTTTCATTTAACTTGTAAATTCTCAATCATAGCTTAAATAGGCTGAGCTACTTTAATATTTGAAACTGCTACTTCTGTTAAGAACCCACAATTTCTGCTGCACTCAATAGTCCAACTTGCATAAATGCAGCCTTGCTAAGAGTCTTGATACCAAGGCAATTTTTTCACCTAATGCATCCACAGAAGCACTGTTTATTTAGTGAAATTAAAAGCAGAGTTTAGTCGGGCTCGGTGGCTCAGCCTGTAATCCCGCGCCTTTGGGAGGCTGAGATGAGTGGATTGCCTGAGCCCGCGAGTTCGAGACCCACCTGGACAGCGAGACCTCATCTCTACAATAAATCAAAAAATCAGCCGGGCATGGTAGCGCATGCCTGTAATTCCAGCTACTCGGAAGGCTGAGGCGGAAGAATCCCCGGAGCCCAGCAGGCAAGGCTGCAGTGGCCGGGAGCGGGCACTGCACTCCAGTCTAGGCAACCGAGTGAGACTCCAACTCAAAAAAAAAAAAACCAAAAAAAAAAAAATAAAAGCAGAGTTTACTGGCCAGGTGCAGTGACTCATGCCAGTAATCCCAGCACTTTGGGAGGCGGAGACAAGAGGATTGCCTGAGCCCAGGAGTTTGAGGCCAGCCCGGGCATAATTTGGCAAGACCTCATCTCTACAATAAATCAAAAACAGCCAGGTATGGTGATATGCGCCTGTAGTTCCAGCAACTTGGAAGGCTGAGACGGAAGGATCACCTGAGTCCAGCAAGTTGAGGCTGCAGTGGCCATGAGCATGCCACTGCATTCCAGCCTGGGTGACAGAGTGAGACTCCGACTCAAAAAAAAAAAAAAAAAAAAACAGAGTTTTTTTTCTGCTTTTCATTATAAATCTTTTAGTAAGATTTGTTATTTTATCTAAATACATACATTGCTTTTATGCCAAAAAAAAAAGAAATGTAAAAACAAAAGCAGAAAACTAACAAATACATAAGAATGTTCTTCACCTCCAAACATGGCCCTTTTGGTACAACTCCCTTCTCCCCTTTGGATCCTATGGTACCTGCATCAAAGTTTGTTCCATTCCTGTTCTTAATGTTTCGGAGTCTGGGCACATCCCTCCGGGCTTCACTAAAATCATTATTGTTGAAGATCAAACAGTATCCCCGAGGCATGTTTGTCATTGGGTAAACTTTGTCTGATGTCTGGAAAACAAAAACCCAATCCAGTAGCCAACATTGTGGGCCAAACACTAGAGATGTGAGCAAAGGAACCCCAAGTGGAGGGGAGGCTGTCCCCTGGGCCAACCCATGGAGCAAGGGCAATTCCCTTGGGGTCATTTCCCAACTGGCTTCACCCTTCCCCTCATACAGGATCCCTTGGGCATCTGCCCCATGGTCAGTGGCCCAACACTTGGGCGTCCTGAGCGCTTGACACAGGCATGCATGTGTTTGTCATCATGTTGTCTTATCAAGATTTGTTCTCATTTCTGCTTCCCTTACGATACAGAAGACTCCTTGAAGCAGATAATGCCTGTGCCAGAGAGTAGGAGGTATTCACTTGTAAGAGCTCCATTAAAGGTTTCCGAATGAGGCCGGGTACGGTGGCTCACACCTGTAATCCCAGCACTTTGGGAGGCCAAGGTGCGATGCTCCCTTGAGCCCAGGAGTTCGAGGCAACATAGCGCAAGCTCATCTCCACGAGGGCAACATAGCGCAAGCTCATCTCCACGAAAAATCAAAAAAATTAGTCGGGTGTGATGGTGCATACTTGCAGTCCCAGCTACTCAGGAGGCTGAGGAGGGTGGATCCCTTCAACCCATCAGGTTGAGACTGCAGTGAGTCAAGATGGTGCCACTGCACTCCAGTCTGGGTGACAGAGTAAGACCTCGACTCAGAAAAAAAAAAAAAAGCTGCTGAATGAATGAATGCCTTTGAGTTGCCCCTCCAAGTGCTCATGATGCTCTTGGCTGTCTCCTCAGCATCCCCATGCCTCCTGGCTAACTGGGGACCTGCCCTTCAGTGTGCCACGGCATGGTCCCAGGACTTATAACACTGAGGGCTTAACCCAGCTCTCAGGACCACCCTGAGAGCTGGTAGGGAAAGTTAGGCTAGTCAGGCAGGTCTTGCCTATGCTGTAGTCAGACTATAGTACCCGACAGCACCAGCTGAGGTGGGCCTGTGTCCTGCCTGTTTCCTCAGGGTTGTTTCAGGACTGAGATACTCAGCACTACTTGGAAGACTGTGCTGTCCCTGGAGGCAGAGAAAAGGGTTTCAGGCTAGGAAAGTCAAATTCTTGACTCTATTTAACCTTCAGACCTTGGGCAAGTAACCTAGTAACTTAGTATTAAGATTAGTATTAAGTACCTAGATACTGAATACCTTATTAAGTTCTTACCAAGTATGTTAAGTATTCTATGAAGTATGCTGAGAGTTTACTAAGTACAGTAAGTGCATTCACTACGATATTAAGACTTCATGTCCTTAGCTGTGTGCTGTAGATAAGGACATACTGCTTACAAAGTGCTATATTACTTCAGCGGATCCTTAATTTCCAGACTGAGAGAGCTCTGGCGATTTTCTCAGGAGCCCACACTGGTAAACAGTCCCTCTCAGGAGTCCACACAAGTCATCTCTGCCACTGGGAGGTGAGAGTGGGCTAATAAATAGGATGGACTGGGTGGGTTGTTAGCAAGTACACATAACAAAGGAGGGACATTTTTGAAACGCTAAGTTAAAAGAAAAGGCTTTGCTCCCCCACACCCCTTTGAGGAGATGGCTTTCCAGAGCTCCTAAAAATTTCTCTGAATTTCATCTTCTAGCCAGGCATGGTGACTCACGCCTGTAATCTCAGCATTTTGGGAGGCTGAGGCAGGAGGATCTCCTTGAGCCCAGGAGTTCCCGGTTGCTAGAAGGCTAAGCAGGAGGCCTCCTACCCCAGTTACCCTCATCTATTCCAGTACCCTCGTCTGAGGTGCTAAAATTAAAACATAATTCACAGGAAATGGAAAGGCTCACATTTTAATATTTAAGTCATGTTTTGGGATAATTTAAATTTTTTCCATTTATTTTTGTTTTAGAGTTGTGGGGTCCATGTGAGGATATGTTACATAAGTAAAAGCATTCAGGTGCTGTTTGAGCCTCTCTCTGCTGGTAGTAGAAATGGTACCTGCTGCGTGGTTGTGTGCCGCTTGTCCCCTTCCCCCCCCCCTCCCTCAGCGGTGCCCAGCACTGTGGTTCCTGCCTTTGTACTCATGTGCCCAGTGTTTAGGGCCCGTAAGTCACATTTTTAACTGTTTTGTGGATTTTTTCTATGGTTCTCAAAATTTTGAATAAGTTTATGTCCCTTATTGATTTACCTGGCAGCTTTTTTTTGCCTTTTTTTTTTTTTTTTTTGTGCCAGGGGCTTACTCTGTCACTCAGGGTGGAGTGCAGTGACATGACATGGCTCACCAAGGCTCAACCACCTGAGCAGCTGGGACTACAGACATGCACCAGCACACCCGGCTTGTTTGTTTGCTTGTTTATTGTAGGGATGAGGTCTCACTATGTTGCCCAGACTGGTCTTAAACTCCTGGGATTAAGTGATTGTCCTGCTTCAGCCTCCCCAAAGTTCTGGGATTACAGGCGTGCACCACTGCTCCTGGCCATCTGGCAGCCTTTTAAAAAAAGCAAACAAATATAATAACTAGAATCTGTAACATAGGGAATGGGAGGACTTGGAGGCGTCCATATACCTGTGACTGTGATGTGCTGTCCTGTTCTCTCAGAGGGTTGGATACTGCCAGTGTCTCACATATCTCCTCCCCTACAAACAAGAAAGAGACACATCGAGAATGAGACCCTGCAGGAAAGGGACGCTGGTTAGGAAAACAGATAGCACCCAGGACCACACAAGGTTCCTTCAAAAATGAAGATTCACGGTTGGCCTTAAACATAATCTCTTTTCAGTCCCCAGAGATTCTGCAGGGAGGGCAATTCACATGCTTCTGGAAACACAAGATCAGACTATCTCATCAGCAAAGGGAAAAGCACACAGAGAAGTGCCATGATGTTCTCTTCCTCCATGAGACAGGCTAAATTTTGAGCTATTCATGAAGAGTATTCATTAGTAGCTTTTTTTTTTTTAAACTTATTGTAGAGATGAGGGATGAGGTCTCACCAACTAGCCCAGACTGGTCTCAAACCCCTGGGCTCAGACAATCCTCTCACCTCTGCCTCCCAAAGTGCTGGTAGTATAGGTATGAGCCACCATACCTGGCTGTCAGTGGTATTCATTAATAAAGCCACTAGCTCAGGATGAATTATTGACTCAGAAATACACTGTAAAACACTCTTAAAGCTCTGGGCTCGGTAGGCGTGGGGAGCAGGAAAGGACTAGCGGCCTGGACATGACTCAGGTATCATCTTTATGAGAGGTTGATTCAGAATGTTTTAAACACACATTCCACAAAGAGCCAGGATAAAAATACAATAAGAACACTGAGGTGATGGTTTTCCTAAGCTTTTAAAAACTTCTCTGAATTTAAAATCATCTTCCAGTCAGGTATAGGGGCTCACGACTGTAATCCCAGCGCTTTGGGAGGCCAAGACAGGAAGATCATTTAAGCCCAGGAGTTCAAGACCAGCTGGGGCAACACAGTGAGTCCTCATCTCTACCAAAAAAAAAAAATCAAAAACTTACAGGGTATGGTGGTATGTTCCCATGGTCCCAGCTACTCGGAATTTCCGGCTGAGATAGAAGGATCACCTGAGCCCAGGAGGTCGAAGCTGTGGTGAGCTATGATTGTGCCACTGCACTCCAGCCTGGGCAACAGAGCGAGATCCTGTCTCAAAAACAAAAAATCAGCCGGGCTCGGTGGCTCAGCCTGTAATCCTGCGCTTTGGGAGGCTGAGGTGAGTGGATTGCCTGAGCCCACGGGTTCGAGACCCA